TCATCATTGATGTTTCTATCTCTCTCTCTCCCTCTCCCTTCCTCTGTCTGAAATCAATAAAGATATGTTTAAAAAAAATAAAAAAATAAAAAATTCATAAATACTATATGAATTTTAAGTTGAAGTTTTGAGTAAAAATAAGATCTTTATCACATTAGCATTCCCTGAATAAACATATTACATCAAAGATAACCATTCAATTTGGAAATGTTTGTAAGACTACAGCTAATCCCATTTTTATAATCCAAGTTCCGTAAGTCATGTGTATTTTTCCAGGTTAAAGCGCTCTGACATTCCGCCCACACCACGACCTTTGTCTGTACACAGGAGGCTCATTTACTCACCACTGTCCTCACAGGGTTCACACACACATGCAGTGATTTGATGGCTTTCAGACTGTGGTCATGGTCTATAATACATCCATGGTGTATGTATGCAAATATGTTTAAGTGACACTGTTGATAATTTGGTGGTGACAATTTTATATCCCAAGCCTGAAATCCCCAGCCTGTGTGTATTGGAATATACTGCATCACTTGGGAACATAAAACTATCACCATATTTCCTAAAAAAATAAAAATAACTCTTTAGGATCAAAATCAACCAGCAGTTCCCCAGGTCAGCTACTAGTCTCACCAGTGCAGAAACCTTGTAGCATTTGCCCCCTTTTACTCCAACACCAGGATCACAAACACCCAAACTAAAATCACTTCCATCAGGTGCAGAACTCAGTGACAGAGGAATCTGAACAGAATTTTTCTAACAGGGTTAAAGTATTTGTGTTGAAACTGCACCATCTAACTACCAAAATAAGAAGTCATTCAGCCCTGGGGGGTGGCTCGGTTGGTTAGAGCACTGTCCCCATACGCCAAGGTTGTGGGTTTGATCCCCGGTCAGGGCGCATACAAGAACCAGCCAATGAAGCACAAATAAGTGGAACAACAAATTAGTGTTCCTTTCTCTCTCAAATCAATTTTTAAAAGTTTTTTAAAGAAATAATTTAAAGATCCTTTTAAATCAACAAAATGAGAGAGTAAGACTGAAATCCCCGACTTTCATAAGAATTTAGCTGCTATTTGCCATGTACTAATTATTATAATTGAAATCTGGCATGCTCATGATAAGATCGTTTTACCCACCAGGAATGTTCAAACACACGATAGCTCTAGTTCCCCAGCAGACGCTTCCTGAAAACAGCCCCCAGGCTCTGCTGACTCTAGCCACTAAAGGCCCCCACGACAGCTTTCCCGGGAGGGGCAGTGGGACACACCGTGCGGCTCCCCAGCACTCAGACGCTCGCTCCCATCTGAAGAGAAGCGGGACCAGCGGCACCCCCAAAATGCACCGTTTACACCTCCGAGAAGGTGAGGAGTCAAGTCACAGAAACTGGAAATAAATGGAAAGAGAAAGAAACCTACAAAAGGAAATACTTGGAGAGAGTCTATTTCAAAATAAAGAATTTAAACAAAAAGAATATCTGAAATTTATACTCAATCAGAACAGACAGCATGAAAAGCACGTGAAGGGAAAGAGAGACTGAGAAGTCAGGGGAGAGCAGTCTGCAAGCAGCCCGAGCGAGCGAGACCTCTGAAATCACTGGTGATGATCCAAAGCATCTTCATTTACAAAGTTAAAAAACAAGTACTTTTAAAGTATAAGAAACACTAATAAAAGTGCTTTTCTGGTTGTTTTTCAAACACTTCATAAATCTGAAGGAAGAACATGCTGTCACGACCTAGTATTACGGCTCACGAAGTTCAGTGTCTCCTCCTGAAGAGGGCAAACGGGCCGGGAGAGGGAAGGACCTGCCCACGGCAGCCTCATACACACGCCTGTTCTGCGTGGTGTTCAGCACTGGACACTGCGAGGTGGCTTCCTTCCCATGCGACTCCAAAGGCGCGCTGGGGAGATGCCCAGATTACAAACATGCATTTCCTCAGCATTGGAAAAAAAGGCTCCCTGCAGAAAAAGCTGACAGCACCAAGACTAAGGGCGCACTGTAACATGTGAAAAGCAGGGAAAACATCTAGTGTTGTTGTGAATGCTCACCAAAGGATATTTTTTCCATTGATTTTTTGAGAGAGTGGACGGGAGGGAGGGATGGAGAGAGAGAGGGAGAAACACTCATGTGAGAGAGACACATTGATTGGCTTCCTCCCACATGGGTCCTGAACAGGGCTGGGGAGCAAACCTGCACCCCTGGTACGTGTCCTTGACGGAAATCGAACCCAAGACCCTTTGGTGTGAGGGCCAACACTCTGGCCGCTGAGCCACACCGGCCAGGGCTAGTATTTGAATTTTTAAATGAGATAGAAGATACCCAACTAATACTATAATTAATTTGTATAAATCAATAATAACAGGCAGCTACAGCGCATGGGTGTTGAGTGCATTACAGTCACCCCAGGAAGTGAACCGGTGCACTGAAGCCGGGCCGAGGTACCGAAGGCAGAGCGGCTCTGCAAGCTCTCAGCAGCTCTTACAAACACCGACCACAAGCAGGAGCGAAGAAAGGCCCAAGTCCAGGTAACAGAATCCTGCAGACCGTAGTCTCTGCATGTGCGACTGTGTTAGGAACTGTCAACAGAAGGGCTTTTCGCCCTGGCCGCGTGGCTCGGTCGGTTGGAGCACCATCCCGGACACCTGAAGGTTGCAGGTCTGACCCCAGCTCAGGAGGCGTNTTTCGCCCTGGCCGCGTGGCTCGGTCGGTTGGAGCACCATCCCGGACACCCAGCTCAGGAGGCGCGTATGCTTCTCTCTCACACCCATGTCNCCCAGCTCAGGAGGCGTGTATGCTTCTCTCTCACACCCATGTCTCTGTCTCTCCCCCTCCCCTCTCTCTAGTGAACAAGTCCTTGGGAGGATTAAAACAACTTTTTAAAACCCTCATATTTAAAAGCTAAAGAACAGGCTCAGCAGCCTCCACGTTTAAAAGACTCATTAAAATTCAAGAAATTCAAATACTATTAATGTTTACTATTCAAGGAACTTAAAATTCAAGGATAAAGTATGTTAAAAGAAATGTATAACCTTAAATATATTAATTTTTTAAATGATAAAAGGTAAACACCAATGAGCTGAGTTTTACACAAGAGGATAGAAAGAATAAAAAGAAAAATAAAGAGCGACCACCAGCGACGTGACAGCCCCAAAGCGAGTCAACAAAACCAGAGCCGGCCCCTGCCAGGAAGGGCCCACTTCAGCAGTTTCCCAAGAGTCTCATTCCAGGACAAGACATGTCTAGGAGGAAGGAAAACTGTAACTGTAGGTACAATTTAAATCATAAAGTATCTGCAAAGGTCTCCATCCCCCGTGACTGTAAACCACAATCCAATGAGACGATCCATTCCTGACCTACGGGGCTGTCGCCACCGAGCACAGCCCACATGTGGCAGCCACACTGGTTCCAGAAACCCTCAGCCCCAGCCAGGCAGGCGGCCACCTCCACTTACCCGTGAGCCTTGCAATTATCATTTTGGACCGTGCCAGGCGGCGAGGAAACCTGGCAGGTTTTAGTCTGTGTTAATGGAACTGTTGACTGTTAGCCAAACAAACTGATGCCTGCAATAAAAATTTCACTTCATGGTTCCCTCCGTGACCAAGATGTGGCCAACATGATGAAAGCGGAAGTGGTGTGCACGGCTCCCAAAAACAGCCTGAGAGAGAAGGGGTGCGCCCTTCCCCTACCTCCCCTTTCCTCCTTCCTTCTGGCTGCAACGCAGTCCTGAAGGAGGTGCCCTGAGGCATGGGGGTCTGGAGAAAGAGGCAGAAGTCGCCCGGGCCACTGCCACTCCAGGCTCTGACCCGTGAGCTAAAGCACTTGTACGGCGCGGAAGCCACGACTGCTCTAGGTCTTTCCTTCACTCACAGGTCAACTTAGTCCTGATTTGAATATTACCAAAAGAAACTAAAAAGGAACCGAGAAAACAAAATGTACCCACTTAAGAAGCTGACGCTGACTTGGTAATAGGGACAGAAAGGACCAGTTTGAGAGAAGAGGGCAGCCACCACATCAGGCCTCTAACAGCACTGAGAGTGACAGAAGGACCCTCAGCCATGAGGAAACTCAAAGTGGAAGCACAGACTAGAAGGCCGACCACACCAGGCTCTGAAGGTCAGTGCAGTCTCCGCCTGGAGGCAAACCCACCAGTGGGCTGCAGACACAGCAGGGGACGGCAGGACAATGCCTGGCCTGGGAAAGACCTGACGGATTAAAGTTCCACAGCTGCATACAGCGGGACAGAGAGGCAGCCTCCTACCAAGGAGCAAGGAGCGGTCGGTGCCAAGTGAAGCCTGGGCAACTTGATCCTCCCACGAGTGTTTCAGCGGCTCCCCCTAGTGTTACTCTCACTGCACAGTTCTCCTCATCGGCTATTGCTGGCTGTTGATAAAACTAACTATCCAAGAAATTGCTTTCTGTTAAAAAAAAGCAACATACACAATAAAAGTTTATTGTTGTTTAAAATGACTCTAACAGAAACCTAGCTGTGACATTCGAGGCACAGCCCTGGCCTGCAGGTATTCACCCCAGGGTCACATGCCTAAAGGGTACTGGTGGGCATGAGGCCATGGGTCCCAGCAAACCACACTGCACACTGTAGGAAAGACCACTGGGAAACCAGATGCAAAGAGCCCGTATTTAAAAGCCAGACTTGAAAACACCCCGGGCCTCTCATTCCGCAATCGGCCAGAGCCAGTGGCAGCTCCGACTGCACAACGGAGAAGGGAAGGCCGAGGCAGGTCAGGGAGGGCCGCCGAGTCAGGCAGAGCAGACCTCTGGCCTTGACTGCCAAGCCCCCGGGGCAGGGCTGAAACAGGTCGGGGAAGTGAATCACACTGCAAGAGCCTCGAAGTGTCCTTCCTCCCCACCGAGGGTGGGACCTCTCACAAAAAGCAGGCAATACTGGTCATCACCACACTTGAAAGGTGCTTACAGTTTTTAAAGGAAACGTGTGAAACAGGCTCTAAGATGCTGATGTTTATAGAAGACATTCTAGTACCTTCTCTCCAGGTTTGGGTGGCAGCTGCAGCTTCTCATAGTCTTTTTTGGTCTCCAGGATTTTTTTGACGAGTCCCCCTGTGGAAAAGCAGCGGCTTTATGCTCCAATTTCTCTGCCCTTTGAAGCTACTCTACTCTGAAAGGGCACAGGAGTAGCAAGACGAGCAGGTCCTCACTCATCTCCTCCACTGAAAGCGGCTTCAAACAGCCTTTATTTGATAAAGCGCCTGCAACTGACCGACACAGCGGCTGCTGGCAGAAACTAACTCCACAATTTCAGTGTTTCAAAGAAATCAGCTCCATGAAAGGAGAAAAAAATCTTTAGAAATAAAATAGACTTTCCCTTCTATTTCCAAAAATTAAGAAAAAATGTAGATTAACATTCAAAATGAATATAAACAGAGGGTAGTTCTGAATTGCTTCTAAGAAGCTTCTAAGTACTAATACTTCTTTTATATTGGGGCAACAATCTTCAACTTCTTAAAAAAAAAAAAAATCCCCCAGGGGATAAATATCACATGAAAACTCAGATGTGTGTGATTAAGAAATGGGCCGAAGCCCGGCCGGGCGTGGCTCAGCGGTTGACGGTCGACCCAGGATCCAGGCGATTGGGGTTTGAGTCCCTGTCGGGGCACATGCCTGGGTTGCGGGCTCGATCCCCAGTGGGGGCGTGCAGGAGGCGGCCGATCAATGATTCTCTCATCATTGATGTTTCTATCTCTCTCCCTCCCTCTCCTTTCCTCTCTCTGAAATCAATAAAGATATATTAAAAAAAAAAAAACAAGCTGAAGAAACAAGGGTCCGTCCATGTGGTGGAGGGGACACAGGCAACACTGCCGTGGACAGAACGCAACACATGTCGCCGGGTGAAACAGAAGACGGACAGCGCGGGCACTGACACACCCGTCTGTCTGCATCTCAAGCGCAAGGATAAGCCCCGTTGCCTGTAGGGAGGGAGCTGCAGGCGGGGCAGGGGACTGCACCGTGCAGTACATTTGGCGTTGGAAATGTGAATATTTTATATAAATTAAACAAAATCCAAATGTTAGTGCCTAAACACTGAGACAAAGATGAAATGAATGGCCTCGGCAGGATCAAACTGGCAAGCACACCTCACAATTATTTCATGACTTTAAAAGAGAATTGTTGGTTGTGCATCCCTAATGGGATGTGCCCTTAGAAGAGGTGACCTCGCTGGGAGCCGTGGGGCGGGACGGGGTCACAGCCCGCTCTCTGCTTTCACAGACACGTGAGATAAAGGAGACACTGTTTGGGAAGAGAGCAGAACACAGGACAGAACTATGGATCCGGGACTAACCTCGGAGGTCACGCGACTGCAGCGTAACCATCTGAATACGGCAAAGAGTCACCTACGAAGCGGCTCACAGCCGACCCCCAGGGCTCCCTAAGGATGGGAGCAGCGTCCATCGTCTCCCACAATAAAAAGCACGGACCTCAGAGGGACCCATGCCCGTGGAGCACCCCCGCTGCTGCTCGGACTCCAGACCAAACGGGCCCAGCCGCCCGCCTGCCCGCGCAGCCCGGCGCTCACCGTGCTCCTCGTCTCCTTCCAGCTCCACCGCGCGGACCTGAGCGGCAGGAGAGAAAAGGAGACTCGCGTTGGCTGAATCCCCAAAACTCCGCCGCGTGGATCTCATCGGAGGGATGAGGAAATCAGGGGGCAGGACACTAACTGAAAGGTCAGAGGCAAGTTCCATCTGCACAAATTAGGTGCTGGGGGAGGTGTAATCACAAGGCGCCTGTCCGGCAACTAACCACTTCGAGCTCTGGCACCTCCGAGAGCTGGGGCGCAGCCTCCACCACAAACTGGTCGTCATCTTCGTGGTCAGAGTTCTGCGAGTCCACGATCACGTTGGAGACGGTCTGACCACTCCCTGCCCTGAACACGAACAAATCAGATTAAATTAGAAATCTCAGGGCGGTGACGGTTTCACCCACCCCCGCACAGGAGCTCTGCGTGAGCTTACGTGGGAGTTCATCACGGGCCTATTGCTCTTTGGGGGCTGCCTGTCCAGTGTGGGGGGCTTAGCACTATCCCTGGTCCCAAAACCCCAACTGGATGACAAGAACTTCCCCCGTCCTCCCCCGTCATGATGCCGCTATAAACATCTCCAGACACGGCCCCAACGCCCGTAACATCCCGGGAGTGGGGTGGCCCCTAGAGGAGACCCTCCCCGCCAGCCCCCTCGCGTGGAGGCCGCTTCATGCCCTCCCAGCTCCTCCTGGGGAATGGGAAGCGAGGAGAACGCAGCGGCAGAGAGCTCGCTCCCACGTCCCCCGCCCACTCGGGCTCTGCTCCAGCACCCCAGCCTGCCTCTCCGTGTCACCGTGCGGGCCCCACCACTCACCTTGTCACCCAGAAACACGCTCGCTCGTCCAGCAACTTCCCGGGCCTGCCCTCCTTCCCGCCCTCACCACCCACCCCTTTGCTGCTTTGTCTGTTTGCAACAAAACCCAAGTCACTGTCTACACCCACGTCTCCAAGTCCGACCTCCGGTTCCATCTGAACCCGACCAGCCTGTGGACTCCTGCACCGTGTGTCTCCCACGGCGTCCACAGGCAGGTGTGAACTCACAACAGCCCGGGTGGGACTGTCTTCACACGGGTTATGACCTGCTCACAACCTTTGGTTTTTAATTTACACGCAACTAAGCCTTGAAATCTTTTTTCCTC